TGTCTTATTCATAATGCCAAATTAATATATACGTTACCTTCCCACTCCTCTCCAGTTCATGGAGGTTGGAGAGAAAAAAATGCCTTGTGTTTTTTACTCCATAGATTGCTTAGCTTTGAATTGCTACTGTGTGATTCCCACTTTGAGACTTCGGCTTGAAGTGCAAGTCTGCCACAAGGATGTGCCATGTAGCCCGGGAAGAAAACCAGCGGGTCTTTCATCATTATTGCCTTGTCTCTCTGGGTCACAGAGAAGCAATAGCCGCAGTTCAAGACTGTGTTCAAAGGAGAGATGTCAGGACTGAATTGTTTTCTGGTGAGGGAAGGATGGATAAAAAATTAAATGCAATTTTCTACTTGCCCTTATCTTTGTGTTTTTTGACAAAATATCACAGAATATCACAGTGTGTTTCGATGGCTCTATAATTCAGTGCCTTCAAAGATTTAAAGGTATACAGATTTGTGAAAAAACTGATTGAATTGTTCAGTGGTAGAAATCACGGTTATAAAAATCGGTGTAGATGTTGTTACAAATGTTTCTACGTTACATGAAAGATATTCTGCCCCAAATAAGGAGCAGCATACTTTTCAGTGTTACTCAGTTTAATTTTCATACACCTGCTGCATACACAACTATTATAGAATGACAGAATCCTTAGAGTTGGAAGGGACCTTTAAAGGCCATCTAGTCCTACTCCCTGCAGTGAACAGGGACACCACAGCTCGATCGGGTTGCCCAGGAGCTGATCCAACCTCGCCTTGGAAGTCTCCAGGGATGGGCATCAACAACCACATCTCTGGGCAACCTGTTCCTTTGTGCATTAAATTGTAATTTAATGCTCAAAGACGTTTTTACTTTCTGAGTAGCAGGGTAGTTTGTCCATGAAAATTTTGGAAGAGGTGTGCCTGTATTTCTTAGTCCAGTCTCTTGGCAGCCTTTAAGCCTTTTGGGAAATACTGATCACACCTGAGAGTGGGCATTGGAAGAGGGAGAGAAGCAGAAAGGAGCTGGAGAGCGAGCCCATGAAATCTTTCTGAAAACTGTTAGCTTGGGTACAGGAAAGACGAGACGTGCTGGTATTGGCAGTGAGGAATAGGCTTTGGTGTAAGCTCCACCAGTCCTGGGTGGGTTTGTCTTGGGGGCCACGTGTCTGCTGGGCGGCTGCTAGGAGTAGTGAGCCGTTGGGGAGGGTGGGAGAAGAGCTGCCCGTGGGGTGCTTCTGAGAGCATGTGGTGAAAGGCAAAGGCTCGTAGAGGCAGGGGGACATCTGTGGTGTGTGGAGGGTGCTACAGTGGAGGGAGAATGTTCCTGGAGGAGGTAAGAGGTGATGAATGCGTGTGGAGGAGCTGGTTTTATTCTGGTAAGAAGTAATATAGAAGAAATGCAATACATCTGGAAGAAATCAGGCTCCGTGGATTTCTCTGTTCACAGGACTATTTGTTTTAGTTTCTAGAGTGTATGTTTGTTTGGCAGACGGTTGTATGTTTACCTACTAATCTACCAGCTCTTTGGTTGTTACTTTATTTTGAATTAGAGCAGAATAAAAATTACTCTGCTTTTCCAGCAGCATGAGTTTTCTCACAGAAGATGATCATAAAAATAGCAAACAAGCTGAGTGGCCCAAATCTTGTGTCTCATCTGACGTAAATTCGGAATTGCTTCAAAATGTGCACACTGAACCAGTTACTGCTCCATCTCTTCTTCTTAAGCCATAGTTTAAACCTAGGTAGCTTCCAACAATTGAATTAAGCTTGACAGTCCAACATTACTTAAAATTCTGCAAGTGGTGCATACACATGTCAGCTGAACGTATTTGAGCTGTATTAAAGCTCACTGAAGATGGTGAAGTCTGACTGTGTCAGTGGGTCCCAGGTTGCAGGTTTACAGCAGCGTGGCACCGTGGCCTTTTTTGCCAATCCCTGCCTTTGACTCTGGAAGGGAACAGATGCTGCAGGATGCAGAGCAATGCAGCTGCTCTCCGCTGTCTTCCTTACTGTGAGGATTGTCCTGTGAGATTTGCAGCTACCAAGGTTGGTGTTACAGGAAAGAAAGAATGGTGAGGCAGCAAGGGCAGAGATGGCTGGAGACAAGGGAGGGCCGGGTGGAATGGAAACAAGTTGCTGTAACTCATGTATGCAGGTCCTTTCAAAATGAAGAGGCAGAAAGGGTTCATGTGATAAATATATTGTGTAAATTGTTGAGTTTTTTGTTGTCTCTTTTTCTGATCTGAAATATCGTAAGTTTCCCTTAAGTTATAAATAGAACGTTGCTGATACAAAGACTGGTACTGATGTATATTTGAGTGGGTGTGATTTGGTAATAGCTTGGGTGTGGGCAGGCAGGAAACAAAAGATGTAAACAATTTACAGCCACGTATTTTTTTTATTAGAGCTTTTATCTTTGTAACTCTTACGGGTTGCCATAGATACAGTCAAGCTAGGGCTTGTTTGTGTTGATGAGAAGCCTGTCGTGCTGATTAAAAAGAAAAAGAAGTTTGAAAAAGAACAATCTGAATTACTTCAGTTCCACCACTCTTGCCAACGAAATATCCTTGTATTTACGTATATAGTTAAAAAGGTGGCATTTGGTGGTACATGTTTTTAATGTAGTACTCGATAATTTGAGTTCAGTACCAAAAAGTCAGTCTTTAATTTAAATTGGAGATCATACTGACAGAAACAAATTACTGTTCTGTCAATTCACAGATGTGTTTTTCCACTTTCTAACGACATTGTAACATTTTTTTTTCCTTGTAAAAGAGGATTGCGGGATGATAGCAGGCTCACTGATTGGCTCCAAGTGAATGTGCACAGCTTAATGTCATGTTATGGCCTTGCATCAAGTAGATGCTCTTACCACCCAAAAATTCAGTACCTCAAGTGATAAATGCATTGAATGTGTCTGACCTCATCATAATTCCAGCTGCTCAGTCCAACAAATATAAAGCAATTATTGGATTTATATGTACCTCAACAATTAAAGAAATTGTTTTAGATGAAGAAAACAAACAAACAAACAAAAAAAAGTAGCTTTTCTGTTTAGGTTTATTGAAGTGTGTGGTTCTGGTCCAGTAAGGTACAGGTAGTATTTCTGATCAGTTCTTGGAGTGAGTTTAGGGCGGCTGGTGGCCGCGTTGTGTCTTTGCTGCTGCTCAGTATCTGTAGTGCATGCGGAGCTGACAGAGGCATTGCTGGGTTTTGGGAGGGATTCACTACGTAGGAAGAAGAGGAAAAAGAAAGATATATTTGAGTCCGTTTAATTAAAGTAAGTATGCACGTGGTAGTTCCTTGGAAAGCTGGAATTAGTCACAACAGCCCTGGCTGAACAGAGTGGGATGAGAGGCAGCTTAAGGTGGGGCATTGATCCAGACCTGTGGAAGATAGAGAATATGAGTTTAAATGATGCTATTCCATTTAGGAATGCAATGTGTTTTAACATAAAGGCTGAACAAATTCAGAGCACTGCTAATAAATGGATTATGCACTGGGGATATGTCTGGCTTCAGCATGGATGAGCAGCCCTTGCAGCTGCAGCACATGCTTTTCCTATGAGCAGTGAGGCTAGGTGGTAAATCAATTAATCTATTAGCAAAAGCTACTTCGTACTAGAGAGTGGAATCCCTGAGATCAAATGCTGATGGTGCTCAAAGGTTGTGGGCTCTTGCCTCCAAGCTTAGCAGCATTCATTTAACTACATTAAGGCTATAATAAGAGAATAGGATTTGACCCACTATTGTAATTTAATAATCAGATATAAGAGAAATATATTGAGCAGTATTGTTCTGCTGGTGATTCCTACTTTGGCAGCACACACACAGAAAAGCAATAGAGAAAACAGTGTCACCTCTTCCTTGCAATATACCATATACGTTTTTTCCCTATAACCTTTCAATACTAGAATAACACTGAACTGTATTTCTAGTGGCTGAAATCAAGATCATACAGGAAGTATTTCCTGGGGAAAGAAAGGTAGGTAAGAGCAGCAGCAAGTAGGCTTGGTATTTTAAAAATATTGGAAACTTTTGCCAGAAGTTTTAGAGATTTTAAAAATAATTTATACATTTTTAGAAATTAAAACCTATTTTTTTTTTAAGTTAGAGCATTCTATTTGGCAGAAATCAATTGGAATTATTAAAAGTGGTCTTCAAAGGATGGAAAAAGGTTGGATGTAGTAGTCAAGTTTCTGTTTTAAACTCGGCAAGACTGCAGAGTCTATGCACTGTGCTCGTTCAGTTTCTAAATATTCAGACCATGGGGTTTTCAGGCCCAGATCAGAAATCAAGGTAGTTTTTGGATGCTATCCCTGTTCAGAAGGCCAGGATGAGGTATTCAGTGATTGAGGAGCTTCGAACCAACTTAAACAAAAATCTGTCATCGTTTTACATAACAGTACACGAATGTTTGTCTTCATCACCTTACAGTGTCTGAGTCTTCCTTGTGATTTCTCTTGATTTGTCCATCTCAGCAAGATGGTTCAGTGTCTGCTCACACCAAGCCCTTTTCTTCCGGACACCCAGAAGAGGGCATCTGGGTCCGCATGGGACCTGCAGCTGCAGAGGTTATGGCAGTAGCAATGTACTCACCCGTGCGCTGCTCTCCTCATTCCAGTCTTAGATGAAGGATGTGGAATAAAGATTGTGTGCGCATCTGATGTACTAAAGAAGGTTTTATCTACTGCAGTTAGTTCTGTCCCAAAAAGGCTCTTAAAATTATACGGGCCTAATACATCTGTGGTTCACTGTAGCAAGAGAATTATCAGTATGTTTGTCCTGTGTTGTAAACACACACTGTGTAGTTCTGTCTCGTGCTTGTTTCCACATGTTTCTTTACTCACTCTTTAACTTGGAGAGACTCAGAAGTACAGAAAAAGAAGTCGTATGTAATACTTTCAGAACAAGGTTCATAATACATGTAAGATACTTAAAATAATCCAGCAGTTGGTTGCTGGAGGAAGCTCCCTACTGTTGCAGGACTTTGAACTCTGCTGTGCTTTCTTTGTAGGGCCTCAGTATGTCCGGTGGAGGTCAGGCTGGCTTGGGGACTCCTTCATCCAGACAGTATGCACGACAGAAAATAACACGTGTAAACCTCAGGGACTTCATCTTCTACATGGAACAGGAAAGAGAAACGAGCCGTTCTCTCCTGCTCTATCGAGCTTTGCTTAAATAAAGCCAAGTATTGTACTGATTTCTCCATACAGAAGTTCAACTTGCATTGAAAGCTGTCATTTTAATGTGCCTTCTATTTTTTTCAGAAGTCAATGTTCCGGTAATTTTGTTTTGTAAAACTGTCAGACACATGCAATAAATTCCCTTTATGTAAAAAAGAAAAAAAAATGTGCAAAAGGTTTTAAAATGTTAAATCCACAGATGTAACCAACTTCAAAGGCTTACTGCGTTTGGCCACGTTAGATAAGGCTAAAATAGATGGCATTGAAGTTACACAAAGAGAAAGAATGCTGCAGTGGCTCACAAAGATGTCATGGCCAGGAGGATCGGGACCTGAATGGGAAAACCTTTGTGTTCACTGACAGTGCTGGTTTTCCTTTAAGGTTTGCTAGCACTGTTTCCACTGAGCATGGTAATACCGGTTAGATTAGATATAATTGCAATTTTTTGCACAGCTAAAAGAAAAACCAATGCACGCTGCCACAAATTTGATACATTTAGGATTTTTGCTTTTGCAGCCCAGCGCGTTCCTTCAGCCATTTGCTGAACCAAATCCTAAGTGTATGAAATCTGTGCGTCTGGGTCCCAGCCGCAGTCCATTGAGTGGCTTCCCGTTGTTGTCTGAATCTCTTCAACCTTTTGCACATTTGTAGCAGTTAGTAACATGAATCCTTTTATTTTCTAAAAATATCTTAATTTATTTATTGCAAAGAGTATGGTTTAATGATGGTTATAAAAGAGAGTATTGTTTGGGAAAGATTTTAGAGTATTCTATATGGATTATTCAAGTCACTGTAAAGGAGGCTTTTGGGATCTGGTTCCTCTTGGCAGTCACGAGAGCCAGGGTGTGCCCTGGGAGCCGGTGCTGCGGGGACTGGTGGTGCTTTATGCGGACGATTGGACCTGAGGACTCCAGTCCAGAGAGGCTCATGAACAAGTGCATGACTTTAAGCATATGGGTAGTTGTCAGTACTTACGGTGGGATGAATGCTTTTTAAACGCTTTGCTGAATTGGATTTTCGGGGGCCCACACCAAAGTCAAGCAAAGTTGACTCAAGTGCGAGTCTTTTTAAATGGGTATTGGATAGGAATGCTCAGCAGGAGGTGGGCACGAGCCGTACTTCTGAGGTACAGTGTTTCCGGTAGCCGTGGAAGGGAGACGTCTGCTTATTTATCTTTTCAATTTTTACTACGTTATGCTTGCCACTTTTTTGAGGCAATACTTTTTTTTTAATGGGAAACCGTAGCGAAAGCACAAATAGAACTATTTGTCCAATAGTTTTAAAAACAAAAGTTTTAATTATTTTTTAAGGTTTATGAAAAGCAGAAGAAAATTTATACTGCTGCTATTTAGCCAAAAGATTATTCATAAGGTATTTAAGGCCAGGAAGTGTAAAATTATGTTTTAAATGTATTGATAATTTGTACATATTGTTTATAAAGGCCTTGTGTTTATTAGAATTACGTTATTTTGATGATTTCTGTACATACTCGTAAATACCCCCAATTTGTGTGAAAACATACTCCCTTATTTGTACTTATTTTGTAAAGAAATAAAACAATTTACTAAAGTAACACAGCGAGTGACATAGTATTAATTTATCAAACATGAATTTCACATTGTCTGGTAGTTCTTAAGCACTGTTCAGAAACATTTTGCATTAAAATATTAACAGGATACCCACAAAGAAATATTAAAACCAAATACTTCAATGTTCTGTTGTGCTGATTCCTTTCCTTTGTCAAACATCTAATAAAATTGTCAACGAACCTTGATGCTATTAATGCAGTGAATGAATGCACTCAACAGTTGCCTTTTCAAGGGCGATCGGTCCAATAAGCACAACATAACATTCATCCATTTCTTTTCAGATGTGGGAGCAGAGTGGTGCCATGGGGTTGTACAAAAGGGCTTGCAAAGACTGTTCTTCAAGCCACAGCTTTGGAGCTCAGCAACAGAAGGGTCAGAACAATTCTGTTCCATCAAATTAGGTTAAAACCAAGCTACGTTTACTTTTTGGCCTTTGTAATGAAAACATTTGCTGGCTGCACACCATGGTTTTATTGGAGATTCTGCGATATTTTAAAACCTGTTTTAGCAACACTAAGCGATGTTCTTAATTAAGTTACGTTGCTATAGTTTAAGGCCAGAAGTGAAAATCCAAATTGTGTTTTGCTGATATTGCTGCCTAAGAATAGAGGGAAATAAGTAAAAAAGATATAAATGAAACTGTAATAAACTTTAAATAAGTGACCTGAAGTTACTAACTAAAAAAACATGTCCTAGCTTAACTTTTTTTTTTTTTTAAAGGCATATTTCTTCTAACAAAGTGATTGTTTCCACATGTCTTCCTTGCCTTAGTGCTATTCTGCAGTCAACGCTGTGATGTCATGGCCCAAACTTTCCGTCTCAAGTTCACATGAACACGGCTGGCGCAGCCTGGAACTTTTCACGCTGCCACCTTTGCAAACTGCCGTAAGTACTGGAGCTGCCTTACTGAGCAGAAAAACTAGCGGTAGACACCAGGCTGAAGAAGAACCAACCAACCAACCATGAGTACTTCCAGTGACTGTCTGCATACACCTAAAAGCACCCTGCTTCCAAGTGTGTAAGAGTGCTGGCTGCCTTCAACTTCAGTGCAGGTGGGCCATGCTCAGCACCACGCAGGTACGCAGCGGCCGCTCCTCTGGCAGACAGCCCGTGTGCACCTCTGCATGGCTTAGCCTGAGTAAGAATGGCAGATCGGGGTGTTTTTAAATGGAGGTGTGACATATTCACCTTTATCTCCTAGCTGAGTGGTAATGAAAGGAGGAGGATGCACAGACATGCGTTCAGCCTCTGCTAGTACTAAGTCTCCCTGGTCAGAAATGCAGGACAAAAGCATACATAGGATAAAAACAAGGAGCAGAATGGACTATTTAAGGATATTTTGAACTTCAATTCAACTCGATGTATGAAAGTAATAAATAAAACTGTTTTTTCCTTCTCTTTTTGTAAGACGTGGCTACATCAAGCTGAATGGAGCAAAAGGCCAGAGGAGATGCAATCAGAACTTCTCACTTTTCAAACGACGTGGGAGATACAGTGAGTGTTCCACCCTACTTGCTTATTTTCGATCATTTACTTTACAGAAATGTTTATGGCATGAAGTACTGTATAAGAAATGTGCATACACAAATACATGACAATTATACGTTAAGTTCTTTACAATATTAAATGTATAATATACAATTCTACAGATATCTTACATACAAAGGTGAATGTTGTGCCATATATTCAAATATGGCAATGCCTAGGAACTTTAGAGTGTCGTACAAGTATAAAACCACAAAATAAAATAACTTTACAACTCTTTTGAAGTAGACAGATTTGCTCAACGGTTTTGCTAAGTTAGCAGGTCAATATGTATAGGCTAAGAATTTCCTAAGAGATTTCTGATTTGGGCAACCAGGGTGAAAAAAAACCTGCTGAGGTCTGATTTTCCATGGACTGGCATCCCACGTTTATCCAAAAAACCAGACCTCTGCCAAGGTTGCAGCTTTGCATATTTAGTACAGGTCGTCACTTCAAACACATCAGTCTTAAACTTGAATCTTTATTTTGCCTGATTGTAATCTTTTGGTATTAAAGAATTGTTAACCATCAAATACTGTTATGTATGGCCATATTTATGCATCTAAAAAGTTTAATTAGAATTCAGCATCTACAACAGTATTCTATAAATGAACGTGGGAGAAACTAAATTGTGATTAACACGTGAATTAGTTATTGAGGACCCAATTTGCTAAACAGCAATAAAGAGGATTCAGCAGAATGCTATTTATAACCTTGCACCTGCAAACATGGTGCCGTCTCCTGAGTTAGGAAGCCCTGTAAGTCAGAGAGCTGATACTGATTCATGAAAGGAACAGTAACCTACTACAGACACTGGGCTTGTTTGAAGAGAAAATTAAACAGATAGAGGGCAGATACACAATTGGCATTTTAATAATAGTTTAAAATATAGAGGAAAAACAATCTAAACAAATCATGGCCTGCTTTCATCAGACAGTGGAAGGTAGAGGGTTTTAACATCTCTTTGCGAAAATTCCAGACCCATAAAGAGTTGGTTGTCCCCATAAACATGGTTCATAAATGAACAACAAGAGGTGGCAGAGCCACGATTCTCCAATGATGCAAAACTTAGTTTCTGAGTCAAAACGTGACTGGCTTTGAGAGAGCTACAGCTCCACCGTAGGTGTGTGGCCCTTGTTTGACGGAGTTTTATGTTGTGCTTCCAAATCCCTACTTTTGCATGTATTGCCATAATTGGCCTTCTCAATTTTTTGTTGCTTTTTTTTTGTTTGGTCTGTTTGCTTGTTTTTCAGTACTGAGCACCAGTTGACTATAAATCGGTCCTTTTCTGATTCTAGATTCTGTCCACAGAAAGATATTTCAGTTGGCAATGTTGTATAAAAATAAGCCATTTGCTAGCATGAATGAGTACAATCACAGAAGTGTAATGTAACGGTACGGAGGTGTAAAGCACATCTGATATGAGGAGGTATGGCAGCCAGGGGGGTTCTCAGTGCAGTTAGTGATGTACCATCTTCCTCTCGGAGGCCGCACTTCTGCACGTCACGTCTGCGGTGTCGTTGGGAAGGCTGTCGGAATCACTTCTCCTGCTGATAGATTCAAATTGCTTTAATTGCTCGTTCTGCAGAAGTCTGTTCTGGGGTCGGGGTTGTACGAAGCTTTGCCTTTTGCACCACACAGCTGTTCAGCTCAAAGGACGTTCCCACCAGGCCTGGTATGCTGAGCATGCTCAGTAATTTCATCGTGGAGAGCAGACAACTGATTTTTCAAATGCATTTCATGGCTGGCTACGTGACAGGTAGTTTCAGAATACCACTAATTGGCAACATAAAGTCAAAATCTGTTCGCTAATACTGTTTTGCAAATCCTTAGTGTTTCACATAAGGGACCATTAAACACTTCTATGGTTACAGAGGAGTACAGGTAGGGTCTAGTCCAGGGGCTCCTGTTTTATTCTGATCGTTGGGGTGGGTTGCGGTCGTCTGTCTTCACGACACAGCACGTATTCGCTGAACTGAGAGGAATCCACCCCACCACCACAGGAAGCTGCCATATTAAATCCCTTCTGAAATAACCTTTCAAGCACCTGCAACGTGGAAAAAAAAATCAGCTGGATATTTAGCAATTTTAGTGATAAAAGCTTTTAGAAGCACTGGATCTAAATGATGGATTTAGTCTTTTCAGTCTTCATAGAACGAATTTTATTCAGCTATAATTCTGTAACTTAGTCTTAAATGACTACACTGTGATTAAAGTCTCGCTCTCAGCAAACCTCTGCAGAAAACAAAAATTAATCAAACAAATAAGTGCTCCACAGAACAGCTTACTACATTATGTAGTAAAATACTGGACTGCAGTGATATCGATGCTATCTCTTACTGCTTAGACAAATCAACAGCAGGTTTAAGTCATAATAAAAAGTGCCCATTATTCATTAGTATTGTGAACAGTCTTGCAGATAAGGGCTGAAAGCATTTGCAAGCTCTTCTTTAGGAGATGAAAAGGTTTTAGGAATCTGAGTGACACTTGCACCAGACCTTCACGGAAATCGCAGCTGTGATTTTCCCTTGCTGGAAGGAGTGCTGCTTCTAGCAAAGCATGGCAAAGACAGGATGTGGAGCCAAGACATGGACAATAAGGAAACATTCTGGCCCAAGAATGAGGTTAATTTGTATTGCCCAAATATATATTTTCTCTTTCTCCTTCTAAAGAAAAGTTGGTGCAATTTAGATGCATGAATTTAAGGAACCCAGAGGCAACTTTAATTTCTGAGACTGTCACACAGCGCATTACTGCAGGATATACTGATCTTGGCAATATGACGGGGGCTTTGTTTTCACATGGGTGAGCATGTTGATATACAGTTTCCCAGCAGAGCAGGAAGCACACAGACTCTTTGCAGCATTAGGTGACAGTGGATGCCAGATCCACCTTGGGCAGATCTGCAGTGTAAGATCCACTGGAGGAGATGCTGTGCTCCCTCCCTCCGGCAGCTCACCTGAGCCCAGGGCAGTAGCACAGTGTCTCCAAAGACATCTCAGCGTGACAAAAGGCACTTAGGCACCCTTTAGTGCACGGAGATTCCTACCTATTACAGGGGGTCAGAGGGTTGGGCAGGGCTCTGCTGCGTTACATACAGTAGAGCTGAACCAGACCCACATGTTAAGATTGGCTGAGTAACAGGAATATTCACACTCACGTGTGAATGCTCCTCCAGCCAAACCTTTACCAGAGGCCATGGCACTGTAAGCACTAAGCCAAATTACCATGTAGGCTACTAACACTAATAATACTCCAGCACATACTTGAAAAATCAGAACTGGGTCTGAAATTTGTACCATAAAGTGAATTAACTGGTCCAACATTTATTTTACAGGTGGGAAAAGTGGTTGCATGAGTTTCTCTGCAGAAAAATGTCACCAAGGGGAAGCCTCCTGCACTGCTCTGTGCGACAGCCCCGCCGTGGTGCCACCATCACGTGTGCCCACCACAGTGCCAGGAGAACCTGGTCATTCCCTAAGCCTGACAAACGTAGTAATGACCCTCACGTGACTCTGCAACCAGCAACTCCAGGGACTCAGTTAAAAACTTGGTCAATTTAGGTAAGCGTCTCAGCAATATCCCCTGCTCCTGAAGGAGACAACTTGTGTGCTTTCGTGGTTTTGCTGCAGAGATAATTTGATTTCTTTTTAGTATCACCATGAGTGTCTGTGAAGCGCTTCAATACTTACTGCAATGGCACCTCAGTCTTAATGGTTCAAGGCCTGAGCTAATTGCTTACAGAGGTACTAAAAATAGTGCCATGTTTGCACACCAGACTCTGCCCTCGCCCCTGCACACAAACCCACGTGAGGCCAAGGTGAGCATTCCTTCTTACTGAACGCGTGCTTTGCTTGCCATGCAGAATCTGCTCAAAATCAGCTTGCCCTGAGGAGTCTGGCCTTGGGACAAAGTGCCTTATGAGCTCAGAAAGTTGTGTCAACCAAATATTTTCCCTGAAAGTTGTAGAAATGAAAGTGCAAAAAAGCATCCCAGTATGCAGAAGAAAAAAGGACCCAGAGAGATTAAAAGAAGGGAGGGTTAAAAAAAAGAAAAAAAGAAAAAGAAATATAAAAAGCTTACCCCTCTATTTTCTGGGCTGTGCACAGCCTTTAGGACAGAAGTGAGGTAACGCACAGGTCCCAGTATAGTTTTACTAACACTCGTTCCTGCTCAGAGAAAGCAGGAGTTTGCTAGGGAGGGAGGAACAAAACATCACCGAGCTGTTTCACAGGCTGGCATGTGCTTTGACTTTGTGTGTCCCTGTTCTTAACCCAAGCAAGCAGGCAAGATGAGGACAAGAGGCAGCTCGGCTACAGGAAAGGAGGCTTCTTCCATTTAACTGGGCAGAGAATCAGAGGATTGACAGGTAAAATTTCAGGGAGAGATGTGACTTCAAAACCTTGCTAAAAACTTTTAAAAATCAATTTGGTTGTAAGACAAAACAAGCACTGGGGTGCCCTTGGCTTGCCTCAGTCCAAAGCAATGGAAGGCTGCATGTTAACACAGGGCTTTTCTTTCCCGAGCCAGCTGTGTGCAAACACACAACCCAGGTAGGCATTACACGCTTAGAGCACCGCACGCAGAACAAAGCGATTCATTTTTGCTACCCTTGTGCTCAGAGGACTGGGCTGCAGGCTATCATCTAGGGTTAGAAAGCGTGGGATCATCAATTTTCTGGGCAAGAAACAAAACTGGTCAAATCCTGTAAACAATGCTGTGAATGTTTAAATACTGTAGAGTTTTAAGGATAACTCGAACGAGGCTGTGCTCAGTTCTATGGAGAAAGTCTCCCAAGGGCTGTTTTCCATGTGCCTTAAGCATTTGTTGGTATGCACCAATGCATGCATGAGACTAAATTGCATGTTGAACATGAACAGATTTAAATTCCACTTAGTGAACTTGGCCCTATGTGCATTACTTTTTTGAAGGTAATAGACAGATGGAGGGAAAGCAGTAAGTGCCTGTAAATAAAATCTGAGCTACTTTCCTATAAATCTCCCACAAGAACATGCCAAAAAGCAAATGAGTATCAGCTGTGACTCTCCTACATATAAGAAGACAGGCACACAATATTGAATAGAGGATTTGTGCTAAGATTTAATATACTCTGTCTCCCAGTATTCTGAGCACATCGAGATATGGGCTCTGATTTTGTTGGGAGGTTTTCCAGATAAAAACATGATATTTTCACTTCCTGCATTTTATTTACATTTTGCAGGATACTACAAGAATGCAGTCTTAATTATGAAGACTCAATGTTTAACATAGACACGCATCAGAGAATTTTCTCCAAAGTAGGCTCATGGATCTCACCAGCATCTGTTGTGAGGTGTTGAAAAATCAGTCTCAGTCTTAGGAAAACGATACCAATAGGCGATTACAAGTGGGCATTAAATAAGAGCTGCTGTTTTTTGGTTGCCACTACCTACTCAGTGTTGACATTCTGTGTCTTATATGTACAGTTCTTGACAGAAAGCATTTAATGAAAATCTTTTTAAAAGTGCTGAAGGATTTATAAATATTGCAGTTGTGCCACCAAATACCTGAAGCAGGACAGTGGGGGACAAAAGCAGTGCATCTCAGTAAACAGCAGGCAGATTTATCACAGCACTCCCAGATTCTTTCAGCGTGCTTCTGCTCCGCCAGCCACTGCACCTTATAACTGATCTCCCTTAACTCCACGCTGTTCACTCCACCATTCTTCCATCTACTGACTCAGTATTGTTTTGTCAAAGAACTGGGAAGTGTAGTGCCCATGTGGAAGTGAGAGTCCATCACAGTCAGTGATAATTATTTCTGATCTCATCAGGCTTTTGTCTCAGCAATGCATCATTTTCCAGAAAGTGTTTGAAAAAGCTCTCTATTAATTATACAGTAAAGTGATGTAATTTAATAAAATTATTTAGACTGTAGACTCTCTGACATAGAAATTTTCTTTCGTAATATGAACCTACAAAGTGACTCTGACTGATTTTGACTGAATTCGAAACACATTCTAATAGTAATAATTGTCATCCAGTTTTAATTATAAATAGTTGTAAAAGCCACTTAATAGAGCCAAGCGTGAGCCTCGGCTGCTTGCCGTGCTGCGCTTATCAGTGACCAGCAGTGACCCTTTATTGTTTCAGTTACTCTAATTTCTTGAATGCCCCTGACCATATTGCATGAACAGAGTGTGGCTGAAACACAAACATGCTTCTCTACCCACTCACCTTAGCTGAACTGCAGCTGCTCCCCTCTCCAGCTCAGTGGTGAATTCATCACTATTCCCGCTGCTAGAAAATGGATCTGCCTCTGACCCACCTCCAGCCTTCTATTTTTGGGGCAGCCCACTCCAACCCTTGCTGAATGTGAAATTGCTAAGGACTGTGCAAAATTAACCACAGGCAATGGACTGTTAAGTTCAACCAAATAAAACTCTTAGAAGCCTTAAACTAAAAATTAGGTAAATCACTGGTTATAGAACGGTTTCAAATGAAAGCTTCTGTTACCATACTGTTCCTACCAGTCAGTGAATGCTGTCCAGTGGGAGGTGACAGTGGAGAGAGTCTAAACTTGCTGCATGCTGACAATACTGGTACGCAAGTGTTCTAACTTCTTCCAACTCCCTTGCAATTGTGCCTTCCCCCTGAGCCTGTCTGGCCAGCCTGTCTCACAGGCCAATTCTGTTGTGGATATTTGCCCATAGGGAAGTTTATCAAGACCACTGAGGCATTTCCCACAGCCCAGCTAGCACCTCTGGTCACAATGACTTTGGAAACGTGCTCCTTTAGGTTGATTTCAATTTCCATAATGATAATCTTTCTAGCATAATTTAAAGGCATGCATGCAAAAACCAAGAGCTCTGTTTTTTCCCATGTTAATTAAGGAGTAAGTTAACAGCACCATCAACACTGTTCCTTCTCCTCAGCCCAACGACAGCTGCACCAGAGCTCTGGCCGCAGTGGTGGTGACGCCTTGTGAAATGGCATTTCTTGCCCAGAAGGCTGCTGCCTAAACACAAACCACGTATTTATTTCCGCTACCACCCACCTATCTGTCCAGTTATCTTCTTTTGTTTCATATGTTTAATTTTAAACCTAATGTCAAAACTCGGAGTATAAAATGAAATACATTTTGTTTAAAATACTCTGGGCAATTTTTATAGAACATCCTTTTGAAAAAAAAAAAAGTGCAGAGATCAATTTTTTTAAGTCCATCCCGCAGGCACCATCATTTAATTATGAGTGAGACATAAATTATGCATTTACACATTGTTGCATTTTCTATAAAATGGTGTGGAGATTTTTTTTGTAGTTTTTGGAACTCTCTCTTTCTTCCTGAGGGCACTTTGGAGGGAAAAAAAACTGCTGCAGGCTATACATTGATGAAAAAATTAGCATTTATCAGTATAACACCATTATGAGACCAGCATGGCACTAACATACACAAAATCTAAATCTATTTTTCTGCTTAGACTTAGGAAAACCTGAAAGACTGTGATCTCACCAGGCAGAAAATGTCTCCGTGCAGTATAAGCACTAAAGGTAATTGGGCAGAAGCAAATAATTTGCATATAATTGAACAAGAAATAAAAAAAAAAAGAAAGAAAAAGCATCCAGATGAGCCAGCACTAAAAGGCCGTTACCTGCACTGAATTCAACCGGCAGTATCCGTTCAAAGGAAACCTAATAACGTGGGTAGGGTCTTGGTTCCAGCCTGCGTTTACGGAGTTGCACATGACGTCCCCCGTCTCAGGGAAGATCTCTTCTATCAAAGCTTTCTCCCCACTCAATGCAATTCTTTCCCCCAGATCTGGAGTCACTCTTACAACCAAGCAGTCACAAGGCTGGAAATGTTTCCTTTGTTCTTTCTCTTGTTTCCATCGCTCAAGTTCCTTAATCATTGGCTGCAGCTGGTAATACTTTGCTTCTTCATATAAAAGATTAAAGTCCTGAGAAAAAAAAAAAAAAAAGAGAGAGAGAAACTAGAAATGCTTATAGTTCCCTTTTAAAAATGAGTATTGTTCCTGTTTGACCTACTTAAGCTTATGTATTGTCAGCAAGAGAGCAAAGGCAACAGGTCAGGTATCGACATATTTTGCCATCTTACACCTACGCAGGAAACCACAATGTGTTAGTGCTGAATTTATTTGAGCTGACCATGAAGTTCCCATTGCACTGAATTATTCTTTCATTTATTATCCCACAAGCTCAATGCAAGAAGGTTTTACTTGTGGATTAAGAACTCAGAATAACTGGTTGCAATAAGTAAAGCATACTGACTTAAGAGAAGTTGTCTTGAGCCCTGATCTTCACTCTTGACCTCAGATATTCACTTCTGATCTTACGACAGAAAATCTTGGATTGTGCTGTCATCCCTCACATATGTGTTACAAGGTAGAGATGGCAGTTCAGCTTTTCACCTCTCACCTGGTTTTGCCACATTTGAAATGAAGCTGCAGAGGCTGGGCTGCTCCCTGCATGATTATTCAAGCATACTTTGGAGCTTGGTAAATTATACTGCCGTAGTGACCACCCAGTGGCTGGGAGCTCAGCTGTGTTTACTCCAACAACTTGAAAGAAAGTGTTCTTTTCAGCCAGCTATCCATAACCCAACAGGGACCTTCAGGCAATTCGAATTCCCAATTTGATCCAATTCCCAGTTAATTGATTGAGATGTCATCTGCATATGCTCATTAATAATTTTTCATCAGATTTTCAATGGATCTTCCCATCTCAGCTTAAACACGTGGGAATATGCTGAAAAGGGTGGCAGCAGCACCATCAGACCCAGCCAGATCTGAACAAGAGGGGAAGCACGCTGGGCTGGTTTGCTTGCATTGCCCCTCTGCCTCCTGCAGTTTCCTGAAGGGAAGAGAGACAACTGAGGCATGGGAGCAGTTCCTCCCTGAGGACCTGATCCTAGCTTCCTCTGCCCATTTTCAGATAGAAGTGCAGGTACAGTGGGTGACTTTTTTGGAGCATGCTGTAGGTCATCACCTGGGCATAAAGGCAACCTCAGTACCGCGGTAAGAGAAGGGAATGAAAGATTGTGAATGAAACTACGGGAATCATTTAGACTGGAAAGAAGGGAGTGACGAGAAGTTATTGGAAAATGGGCACCAAAATTGCATAAGGAAATAACTGCAGCACTTCTGCAGAACTCGAAGAAAGAGAATCAAAAGCCATTGAATGTACAGCACAAAAAGGTGCAACTTGTCAGAGCATCATGCATTAACCTGCAAAACCTGCTGCTGCAAGGTATTGCCTACAGAACCAAAGCAGTCAGCCGTGTTGGAATTTGGCACCACAGAGCCACTGCCACTTGTGGAGAGGTGCTCCTTCACCACAGCACTGCCTTCAGCCTGCAGATACATGAAAATTAACAGTGACACGAGCAAGGTTATCATGTTACAGAAGAGAAATCTGATCCTTTGCATCTCTTTGATGTCTGTTAAGGCTTGGACGATACGCACACCATTAGTGGAGAAAAAGGGACTGGAGAAGGTGCAGAGAGAAAAGAGTGATAAGAGCAAATGTGAAGAAATGAGGGCAACAAAACTTGAGAAGGATCCAGAAGATGAAAAGCAGCAGGAAGATAAAGGAGAAATGCTTTAGGAAGCACCTGGCCAGCCAAGGAGCTGCCACCACCTGGTGTCAGGTAAGAGCGTGCCAGCCCCAGTGCCACCAATGGAAAGTTTGGGTTTTTTTCCCAGAAAAATCAGCATGCTCTGCTGAGCCATTATTGCTTTTCCCTCTCCACCTGTGAAGCTCTTTGGTTACTGCATGTGGGATCAGTTTAAATCTATAGGCATTAGAGGTTTAAATTAAAAGCAAAATACAACCTCTACTCCAAACTTTCTGAAATCTTCATGCAGGACACTGTAACAAAACAATCTCCCATGCACCTGTTTGTTACAGAGGTGTGTCAAATGTTTGCTGTGAATCTGCTGGCCCTGTATAACCATTTTGAGCCAAGGAAAGCATGTGATGCTAAGGAGAAATGTAATGCTATAGGGTTAGCAGGAGCATGGAGTGCTCACACGTCAATGGAAAGTCTTCCACTGTTTTCAGTAAGTTGCACAAATTTGGTTTTGCAATATTTGTGTTCATGGCTACTATAAAATAATGTTATATGTTAGGGCAGTGAATTGAATGTGTGCTAGTAGAAACACCATTCAAAGCTACAAGAGGTGGTATAGCCTTGGTAAAAATCAGTCCTTCATTTTTGAAAGCAAACAGAAGTATGGTACTCCTAAGACTCAACACACTGCTAATGCACTCTCTTCTCGTGCAGGTTTTATAAACCAGTCAGAGAAGTGTGCAGCTGTGACTGGACCAGCAGAGATGCCCAGCTCTGCAGTGCCTTCACAGCACACTCAGGATGCTCAGGTAACACTGTCTTTCCAACCTTGCACTCTAGACGTAAAATCATATCCTGATGATTTGCAAATGTTTAACACAAAATATCAAGTACAAGAATTTAACAACAAGAGACCCCTGCCAAGGAGGTGCCGCAAGAGCTGCAAGATAGAGCTGCTCTGTGCTGTTCATTTGGATAAGTTACCAAAGGCAGATGCAAACACGAATCTTTTCAGACCTATCCAAAAAAGGCACATTTCACTGGAAGAGGAACAGGAGTAGCTACAGGATGTTAATTGCCTGGTGCAGTGGCAAAGTGCACTGTTCCATTGAAATCCAGACTCACAGCAGCTTGGTGTGTCTTCTGTTCCAGGCGTATGATGATAGATGCATACATGTACTGTACCCTCTCTCTTTCATGGAGACTCCAGTGCTGGCATTAGCAGTTTTGCTAAGCAGCTGGCAGCATCTCAGGGCAGATACAGTGTGGGATCCAGGAGCTCCTTGTCCTGCAGGACAAGGTCTCCCATCCCTGAGTCCCTGCTAGCAGTGGTGGGGCTATTGTGAATCCTCAATAGCCTTCAACTTCTTGTGGCTGCAGTAGGACTTAGTGGGCAGATTCTGTGCTGTCACCCAGAAGACGAAACAGGGAGCAGCCAGCTGGGAAGCACAGATTCTCCATCCTCAAATTTTGAGCAGCATTTAGATTTTGGGTGGAGGGTCAACAGATCATTCAAAGATGCAGGTTTTTTTGCTTTTGCAAAATAATTTTCAATTCACAATGTGGTAGAAAAGCTTTTTTTTTGTGATTGATTTCGTGTTGGCTAAGTTCAGCAGTCATCTCTCATGAGGGTCACATCTTCCCAAGGAGGAGGCAGGTATCGTGACTTCAAAGTAAACTGTGCAATTGACATCAGTGCCAGTCTATCAGTAAACATCTATGAACTATGAGTAGAGGCAGCCAACAGGAATTGTAAAATAAAAACACGTCTTGTATGAATCTGGTGCTGTTCTCTCAATAGTAAAGTTTATGTAATTGAGCACATAAGATTGATCCCTGAACAGGCTTTCTATTTTTTTGTTTTTTTTCTTGTTACTCTTTGTTTCCATGACACGACAGGCTGTCATCCTGACTCAGCATTTCCTTTATAATTCAGTGCCGTGAAGATCTGACTCCTGAACATGAGAGCAAGCTGTCACTTCTGCTGAGTGCACCATTTGCTAAGGTCAGTGTGAAAGCACTTACAACTAGACGTAGGCATGCACATTTTAAGACTGTATAATAAAGCAGATGCCACCTGACCCTACAGGTGACCTCAGTAAGTAAACCATGTGAAACTCAAATGTCCTCTGCATTTGTGCTCCTCTCCTCCTTAACATTAAACGATGATATATGTACTGCCTACATGTATTTCTGTTGGAAGATCTCTAAGCAGGGAGTGCCAGATAAGTAGGTTCAATGGGCAATCATGGTTTTGCATGGAGATGTATTTTGTGATTGAAGGGAGAAATGGTGATCATAATTGCCACGGGGAAACACCTCTGATGGAGAATCAAGGCAGATATTTGGGCTGTGGATGAGGGTCAGCTCCTTTGCTGGACACCCCCTGGCCCTGCAGTGTGGCAGACCCAGGGTGCAGGCCCAACACTTCACTTGAGGACGTGTCACTTAAGGTGGAGTGGCTCCACGCACAGGACTCTGACCAGAGCAGGAGAAGGGAACTGTAAGCAGCTCCCAGCCACCCGCCATTGCCTTGCTCAGCAGACACTGCAAAGCAGAACCGAGCCAAGAGCTCATGGTAATTTCTGAACATACTTCATGGGGCTTAAAATCCTGCAAGCCCAGGAAAATTATATGAACTATTAGAATGTTGCTTTCAGCAGGGAGACCTGTCAGATTCTAAACACTTTCAAGTTCTGGCTTATTAGTAGTTGGAAGTGTAATTAATATTCACTGTAAACACACCAGTGAGACTTGATAATAAAGAATCACTAGCCTAGGAACACATACCCCACTTTCTCTGCTTTTCAGTGTTAACTTAGTCTGAAAACAACACTTAAACAGAAAACACTGCGAGGTTGGTGTGGTACTAACATTCCAAACTTTGCAAAATAACCATTTGAGCAGCAATTCGAGTTGAAAAGCAACTTGGCTAAACCTTGAGGCTAATAAACTGCTTGATTAAATTAAGGGGTAAAAACTAATAAATATTCAAAACACTTGATAATGCTTTGTTTGACATAAAGAACAGTTAATGCAAATCTCACTGGAAAACCTGTCAGGTTTTATACCTTAAATAGAGTTTTGCATTTAGAAACACCAAGTGATTCCATTTGCTGCCTTTGATTATTGTCTTCTGTCACTTTAATCATGCTGGTAAAATTACACAATTTCTGTGAAGTCAAATCCGTTTACAGTGCAGTTTTAATACAGCTTTGCAGTGCATTCTTCTATGCATTTTTATTTAGTTACTCCCTACCTAGCAATACTTTGCTTTGTTCTTGAGCCCTCATTAGCCTGGGGTTTGCTCTAAAGCTCTCTCAGGGAGGAACCAAATGAAGTACAGTTAACTCTATGCAAAGAGATGGTCTGGAACAACGGACTGAGTTGGTCACAGCGCCGGCTCTCCAAGTCTCTCCCAGCCCTGCCAGCGGCTCGCTGTGCAGGCAAGTCCTTGGCATCCTCTGACATTCTCCCCTCGAGGCTCTTACTGAATCCTGCTGGTTTTGTTTCACAGCACCTCTGAAATCCATCCGCCTGGCTGCTGGTCGAGACCATGATCAGGGTGAACTAGATCTCTTCTGCACTCTCTTCTCAGTCTCTCTTTTGCCACCAGATTGTCCAAAGCACTGCTGATAAAGCACCTCCCTGAGGCTGTGTCAGTACCATTGCTCCACCCATCCTCTTTAATTGTTCCATCTTGCACCCCACAGGTCTTTCGCTTCAATCCTACCCACACATTTGCTCTCATCTCTCCTGTCTTGCGTCTGCCCCTGCATGCTCTGCCTCTTCCCACGTCACAGCACCCAGTGCCACAGGGCAGCCTCCCTGGCCTGCCAGCCGCTCCCACAGAGCCCAGTGCTCAGACAGCCCCGTAGGGCTGCGCCTTCAGTCCTGCCTGGGAATGCCAAAACTTCTGCTTGGCGTTGGCAAAGGAGGTGTGCACCCACTGTGCTGTGTGTCTGCTCAGTGTCAGCTGTAAGTGCTGAGATGCCAGTGTCAAATACAAGTACACTCATGATTTAGGCAAAAATGTCTGAGGACCGGTTTGCAGCAAGAGGATCAGCTATATGCCACAGTAACTATACATTTAGGATGACTCAGGAAGGCCTGACCAAATTACCTTGCCTACCCAGTCCAACATGAAAAATGAAATTTTACTACTGAGCACGGGAACTTTCTTTTCTAGTAGCACTCAGTGTCCTCTAAGTCCCCATTAGCATCCCAATTTATTCATTATTTCATCCTGCAGTTAGCTCTTTTGTTGAATCTTGTCATCTAGTTTGGATAGTTTTGTCTTCTAATTTTCATACATAAGGATGACAGTGTTGCAACTTTCATAAGCACAAAGCCAAATAAACAACGCTAGGAGGAGAGGGTTTCAACAATCAGGATTTACAAAGCAACTTGCTGTCATTATTTCATAGAAAACATGTATTATTGCTCCTTAAAGGTCTCTCAGTAAATTCTATTTCCCACCAATATTCTGACATTCATACACTGTGTAAAAGATTACTTATTGAAATCGAAGTATCTGAACTGGATATATCTAGCAGAAGTCCTCATGAATTTGTTTAAGGGTGTTACTTTTTCATGCCAACAAGAAAAAGATTTATACCATTTAATTACTCTAAGTATCAAATTTAAAACATTTCTACCAGATTCTGAACATTAAACCCTGGTAAGTGCTAGTTGCTGGTGTTGATTCTTAATTGTTGTTATACTCTGATAAATAAGCTAAAAATGTGAGAAAATACAATTAGTTTAGAAAAACTGATTTAGCTGTAAGCTTCATCATTTAACTTTTTATGGTATCCATGACAACCATTGGTCTGTTTATTAAATAATAGCATCCCTAGCGTAATACACAAGTACTAAAAATCCTAACAATAAACAGCAACATTTAGCTAAGTGTGTTTAGGTCAAGCACACAAACCAACCTCCTCCAAAATAAATGATAGAATGAGGGGAAAAAATAGATTGCAGACTATAGCTTTCCTTACCTTAAAATCTTCTGGGAGCAGTAGCTTAGATGTCCTTAGGAAGCTTAATATATATCTGAAAATCTCACCATCTCGATCAATGAAATAATGTTGTTTTAAACTGTCCAAGACAATAGGCTCTGTGCCATTAAACAGACGACTTATTCTGGAAAAAAAAAAAGAAAAAGAAGTGGGCAAAAGAGACAAAATCTCATTCTCCCCTCAGGATGTAAAAACATCCACTCAATATAGCTGTATCAATTCAGTGTGCATAAGGTAATGCAGTGTCTTCATTTGGTGGCAAATGCAAACAAACGTAGGAAGATAGACGCCTTGGATGCGTGTGCACACACACGCGCACGAAGTGCCCGCTGGCAACTGCTCCTAGCACAAAGCTCACGTTGCTGTGAATCAGCGCTGCAAATTAGGCTCAGAGCTCCAACAAGGGAAGTGCCTGTGAAACTCACCCTGTGGCTGGCAGGACAATTTCTGGAAGAACGTATTATTGGGTAAGTTATACACTCCTGTTCTCAGGTACCATTCATGGAGTGCTGGGATGTCACTCAGAGATGGGCTCCTGGATTTCTCATCAGCTGCGCTGCCATTCTGATCAACACCATCAAAGCACTTCCACATGAGAGAGGAGGATACCCATGCATTGTCATGAGCTGTACGGACCCCTCAGTGCTGAATGTTTTGGCAATCCAGCAGCAAGGGTCCATACAGCCCCACCAGTGCCCTACGTACCGGCCTCTGTGGGGACAACACAGCCTGCCAAATGCTTCCTGGGCAAAGACAAGGGGTGAGGCCTGAGAGCACAGGTCCAGCTGGGTAGGTGTCAGCAGAACCAAACACCGCATCTGCTGCACTGTGCAAGTTTTCTCCGTGTCCTCCTGATAGCACAATGCAGGCTGGGTGTTTGCTAGGCTACACTTCCTCATGCCTCTCCTCTCCAAATGTCTGGCTTCTTTCAGAAGGCTTTGTCTTCCCATGAGAAATAACCCAGCTGAATATATGTTCTTGAAAGGAAAATCACAGGAGACAGACAGCAACGACCTATTAAGTAATTGAGTCCATCTCTCTGACAGTGCAGCATTGTTCTCAACTGCAGAATGTCTCATGTTTCAAAGTCGAGTCTTCAATAACCCTGCCAGTGAGGACTCCACCATTTCCCACTGAGACTATTCCACAGCCCGCTAGATTTCACTGTCGAGTGTCCCTTAGGCTCGGCTGTGCAATCCACCAGTATCCCCCACTGCCACCAGGGAAGGGCTTTTCCCTGCCGTGGAAAGGAGCCCACCCAGCCACTGTGCGAGGTGATGGCCAACACTGCCAGCGAGCTCAGCAGCTGCAGCCTGGCTGCTCCTGCTCCCCAGCCCTGCAGAGAGTGCCCAGGGCATGGCTGGGATGGTGAGCATCAGCCCATGTGCTGGAGGACAGTCTTGCTCACAGCAGTGCAGATGCTTGCAGCTGCCCTGTGCTCAGCTTGTTTTGGACTGTGGGGTCTTTGTGGGTAAAATTTGTTCTCTGCAGCTGCCCCTCAGTCTGGTCTTCCAACTTTTTGATGTAGTTATAAATATAATTAACATGCCATTAATTTCTAAGTTAATTGTGGAGATACTAAGTTAGCAATTTCCTACTGAACTCAGCTAAAAAACCTCAACTCAAATGTACGCTCCAGGTTTTGCTGCCTGCTCTCATTCCCTTACATCTGTACTAGCATTCAACTACTCTGAGTTACTTAGAATAATCAAATGCTTCCCTAAACCCTAATTGTAATATATTTACTGTCTTTCTCCATCCTCTAACTTTCTAACTGTATCAGAAAAATCCAACTCGCGCTGCAACATTTAATTTATACAATCCCAAGGTTCAGCAAGCCTCCAGTAATTCAATATTTTCCTTGTTATTTAGGTCTATTTGCTTGAGACAGCTAAATATATTGCTTCATACAGAGCTAAATTTCAACCCAGGAACCAGACAGTTAATTTATTTCCTTAGACATGCACAGAGCCTGGGTGCTGTTCTGGGCTAGCCTGAAAGCCGATAAAGTAACTTAATGTTTCAGTACAAGACATTCATTATTTGTGTGGCTACCAAAAGTTTTGAGAACTCATCTTTCCCACTTACTCCCTAAACAAGCTGGGCTGTGGCTTAAACCTCCTCCTGCTGCAGCCCATGAAGTCTGCAAAAGCAAAGCAATGGCTGTTGTTCAGCTCCTTGGTGCATATGGGGGAAGGTTTGCCAACAAAGAAAGGATGCAGGGAAGACAGGATACAAAATGCTAATGGGTTGCTCTTTAATGTAGTGAAGCTTTTTTCTTTTCTTTTTTTTTTTGTAATGAAAACAAAACATGAATTTTGAGGCCTTTGTAGAGTGCCTTGAGCTGTATTTCTTCACCAGCAAAATTACTGCTGGGGAAAGAAACTTACAGAGTGTTGAAAGACTTAACTGCCACCCCAAAAACAGAGTGATGAATAGTTTGAGGATTTATTTGACATTTTAGGGGTCTGCTATGTTCCAAGAACAAGCTTCACTGCAGCATTCTGAAACACTGCATGTGGAAAGTGCTCCTGTTTCTCCCGCCTCATCAGCACAAGCTGTACCTGCAAAAAGCCTATCAGAAAATGCAGTTCTGCGAGAACAAAAAGTGAACCCAAATGACAGCTTCCAGAAGCTCTGATGCACTGGCTTTACTCCTGATTGGCAAAGCTGTGGAAGCACAGTGAACAACAGCTCTGCTATCAGATGCGCTCAGCAACCTGCTCTCAGGCTGCACAGCACACACCACTGCATGCAGATGTGGAGACTTGCTGCAGCTCTCGGATTGCACAGTGGTCAACCCAAAATGTTTGCTTTTATGAGCAGTCCTGGTGCATAATACTTTAAAACTTCATTTTCCTGGAGGAGCCACTTGCTCATAGCACATGAGAACGGTGCTCCCAGTGATGTTTGTGAAGTGGAAGGCAGAGGAAAACAGAGCAAGGCAAAAAGAGCTGCACTTAGATCCTATACAGATGGGTGAGTCTCAGCAGTGAATGTTTCTTCAGTACTCCCACCTTTTAAGAGATTGTTCACTTTTGCATTTAAAAATGCTTTTAATTTGGGGGGCCCCCCCCATATTTCATTTCTGGACAGCAGCCCAAGCCAGGATCAAGCAAAACAGTCCCAATGTGCATGCTTTCCCACTGCCTTCACCTTCCACCTTCCCAGCCAGGTCCAGCTGTGCTTTGCACTCTTCCAGCCACATGCTTCTCTCACAGCTGTTCCTGCCTTCTAGAATCCCTCCCTGCCACCCAGTCTTCCATGTGTACCCACCCAGCCCCTCACAGAGCTCCAGCTCCCAGCCCTGCAGAGCTGGATGAGGAGTGAAATGGTGCCGAGCCTGCAGATGGATGCTTCTAACCCCTCTTCCCAATGTCCAGAATACATCCTGTTGATCCTATTTTTGCAGCTTCTTTGTGCTTCATTTGTTTCTGCTAAAGACTCTTTTACATTTTCAATAATGTTTAGCCAAAATGCCAGGGGGCAAGTTTCTAGCTTTATACCCATTTCACTATGATATTAAGGCCTCCTTTTTTATTAGATCAAAAACAAACAGCACAGCCAGCCAACCCACAAGGACAAGAGTAAATTCTTTCCTGAGTTCCTTGGACAGCAAGGAAGCTGTGTGCTGTGTGTGAGCACCTACAGAGACCCACTGCCACCCACACCCCTGACAGCGCTCCTCCCTGCAGTCCACCCAGGACCATGCAGGCTGCCTGCATCAGAGCACAGCTGGGGAGGATGCATGGGGACACCGAGTGCAGAACCTGCTGCAGCCCTCACCGCACACAGCCTCATTCACAGACCCACCCAAATCCATCAGGGAGTAGCCAGGGCTTTTTGCCCTCTGAAGCACCGCACATTCTCAAGATTGCTGCCCAGCAGCACAGCGCAGCTGGGCTTTGTGCATCACCAAGCTGGAAGTAAATAGCATTTGGGAATGGATGAGTGTTTGGAGGTGGTGGTGCTTTCTCCTTTTGGGCTAGATTAGTCATTTTGTTGATAACTCTCTTTTTGAACAGAAAACTGAAGTTCTTTCCTAACAGATCTGATCCCAGGGGCCTTAAGAGGAGCACCAAGTACAGGGGGACCTGCAGGAAAATGAAGCCAAGTATCCACCGAGCCTCCACTGTTGCACCTTGCTCCCCCAGCCAGCACAGTCACAGCACGTGAGTGACAGCCTTTATCACAACATTGCAGTAAAAGTATTAATTTAACTAATTACGTGATTAATATTTAACCGTTCAGTGATATTTTTGTCATTCATAATTCAGTTGTTTGCATATATTAAAGATTTATTCTGTAGACACTTTCTGCCCAATGTCACATCAGCAGGGATTGCGCATTACAGAGGACTGTCATTAAACGTGGCTCTCTTCTGTTTTTATGGAAAGAGCGGGGAAGAAAAGAGGAATGCTTGTGGTGAGCCCCTCCAGCATGTGGGGCTGCACTCTGCTTGGTTCCCTGCTCCATCCTTGCTCCATCCCTGCTCCCTTCCGCTCCTGTTCGGCTTACAGAGCTCTGCAGCTCCTCCTGCACCATGCAGGCTCTGCTGACTGCATGCAGCTCCTGGCTGTTGTGAGGCTGCAGGAACAGAGGCTGTGCGAGGTGCAACAGGGAGAAGGAAGGGGGTTGTTCAGAGCTGGAACAGAGCCAGGGCAGCCGCATCCAGCATGACCTGAAGCCACCCTGCTGCATGTGTTAGCACTGCTGGGTGTGTAAGTGGAGTCCAGCCACTTCTGCTGAGCCATAAGGGATGCTTATCTCCTAAATATTTGTTCAAGGTGGGTATGATACATATTGTTATCTGCTTTGTTGCAAAAAACCACTGTGAATGGGAACAGAGGTGCTCAAGAGACTGGAGAGTACCACAGTATCTGACACGGCTATCCAAGCAGCCAGGCAGTTTGGTCCCTGGGTGAGGGGCAGGAGGGATGGCAAGAGGAGGGACAGGGAGAACATGGCCACTGTCCCCTGCCTCCTGCTCCAATGGCAGCCAGGAGGGAGGGATGGTAGAGCAATCAAGCTGGGACTCATGCTCCCTCATGCCCCAAACTGCCAGGAATGTGGCTAAAGGTTGCATATGGCTGCAGAAGTTTTTCTGATTTGTCTCAGTTTAAA